TGGCCCCATTATAATCCCTCTATAGTATCATGAACTGTAGGCGTATAGTTGATACCGAGTGCGCAATTTCATACACGAGTGAATGCAACAGAACATAAGATATATGCTTTAAGCTAAATAAATATTGCACGATAAGGAATGAAATAAGTGAAACTTCCTACCAGTTTTGTATCCTCTCGAAGATAAGTACAAATGTCTCTGTATCGATCTGCAAGACTCTACTAAACCCGTTCATGACTCGTAGAACCTATGAACCTAGGGCTCTAATACCAACTGTCACGACCCAAAATCCGGCCACAGGCGTCGTGATGGCACCTAGTCTCTAATCTAGGTAAGCCGATTTCAATTACATTTTTGAAGCCATATTTTTTTAATTAAATAAGTAATCAAAACTAATAGCGGAATAAATAAGAATATACAACCTCCCAAGGTTGGTAGTACTGAGACACGAGCTCTAGCTGAATACATGGAATGATCACGAGGACCAAATATACAATACTATAAAATTAAAAATTAAGAGTACAATGAAATGAACAGAACTCCAAGGGACTGCGACGACCAAGCAGCCCTACCTTGAAACCTTGCGATCATACTCGAACTTTGTCCGGGTCCGATACCTCCAATACCTGGCTCTGGACAAAAATGTGCAGAAGTGTAGTATGAGTACACCACGGTCGGTACCCAGTAAGTATCAAGACTAACCTCAGTGGAGTAGAGACGAGGTACAGTCAAAACACTCACTAATCTAATAATCTATGCAATATAGTATACAAAATAATACTGGAAAATAACTAGCAATGATAACAACAAAATCAACCAGTGATATAACAACAATGCAACAAGAACATCATAATTATTGCTCAGACGAATAAGGAACACAAGTACAACCAATTTATCAAGTCCTTCAAATATAAATTCTTTCGCCTATATGTTTTTCAAATAATAATCTTCAGGATATAATACTTTTCAATAAATATATTTTCAAGTAAAAGTCACCATGTGACACCTCATTCACAATAATAAAAATTACGGGTCTCAGCCCACTTTCATATTTTTCCACGGCACCTCGAGACCACATTTCTATCACCATCACACGGACAACTCACGTGTCAAAATATCAATATATATAAGATCCATAGGATCAATTTATTTTCAGTAAAGTAAGGTTAAAATATTTAAATCAAGTAAGAAATCAACAAAGGAATGAATTTATTTTAGAAATCATTTGGTTGAAGAAAATGACATTTCAATTAAAATGAAGCATCCGATGACTACTAATTTGGATGTAAAATTTATTAAATTAAAACATAATAGCAATTTTTTTTATTCGAAACAACTCAATCCTCGAAAACCAGTAAAAACCATAAACACAAATCTACAGAATCTTTTACAAAGAGCCAAAGCCAACACAATATAACAAGGAATACAAACACATAATAAAATTAAATACATCACGGAAGAATACAAGAATATACATATCATGGAAAAATAAAATAACCAAAGGCAAGTGCATCCATAGAAAAATATCAACAAAAGGACACTCCTGAGGTACCGCCTCGTAGTCCCAAAAGTAAATATGCAAGACAGGGGGATCTCCCGGAATACCGTTCCGTAGTCCCAAAGTAAATATGTAGGGCAGGAAGATCTCCCGGAATACCATTTCGTAGTCCCAAAGTAAATATGCAGGGTAGGGAGATCTCCCGAAATACCGTTTTGTAGTACCAAAGTAAATATGCAGGGCAGGGGGATCTCCTGGATTACCGTTCTGTAGTCCCAAAGTAAATATGCAGGACAGGGGGATCTCCCGGAATATTGTTCCGTAGTCCCAAAGTAAATATGATTTCAAAAACTTCACATCAAGTGCTCACATATAACAAATGGCTCATCAAGTGCTCAAATATTTCAACTTGCCATAAAAATCAATATTTTTTCTTTTTCCACGATAAGGAGCCCATAGCTCGACCATAATGTGTACAAAAATCTTAACAAAATATCCGAAAGTAAACAACTCAACAAAATAATATTTCACATAAATTCAAGGTGACAATCACACCAAATTATCATATAAAAATAATTTCAACAAACAAGGTTCTAGGCATGACAAATGGAGGATTTAATAAGTGCCAAGAATTTCCACCTTAATACATAAGGGCGTCTAAGGATTTTAATCAATGAAATTTGTACATATAAACCAAGTACGTACTGTTCACCTCGCGTACATGGTTTTCAATTACACAATTTGCACATAATACTCAATGCCTAAGGGGTATATCCCCCACTCAAGGTTAAGCAAGACACTTACCTTTTTGAAGTTATGCCAATATTTCATAATCGTCATCTTGCTTGAATTGACCTCCAAATGCCTCGAATGTTTCCACAAATAATTCGATTAAGTCAATAACATTTATTGGAATTAATTCCATAAGAAAATACTAATTTTTCAACAAAAGTCTAAAATTAGCTCAAAAATCGTCCGTAGGGCCCGCATCTTGGAATTTGACAAAAGTTATAAAATTCGAAAGCCCATTCAACCACGAGTCTAGCCATACAAATTTTACTTAATTCCGACATCAACTCGACTCTCAAATCTTTAAATTAACCAAGAGGGTTTTCTAATCTTTCCAACTTAATTTACCCATTAAATGTTAACAACAACCATGGATTTGGGTAATTTAATCAATATTGAGTTAAGAACACTTACCCTGTTATTTTCTCTGAAAATCTCCCAAAAATCGCCTCTTCCCAATCTCCAATCCGTCAAAAATGCAGAACTTAAAGTTTTTGTTCGGTATTTTCTTCTTCGCGAACGCGGCCACTGCCTCGCGTTCGCGAAGCACAAAAGTGCTACTACCCCAAAACATGCTTCGCGTTCGTGTCCAGCTCGTTGCGTTCACGATGGGTCGTTGCCCCAACCCTTCGCGTTCGCGATTCCCATCTCGCGTTCGCATAGACCAAAGGCCTTCTGCCCTGTTTCCTTTATTTTCCTCTTCATGTTCGCGGTTGGGCCTCCACGTTCGCAAAGCACTGCCAGGTTCACCTATGCGTTCGCGAGCCTCTCTTTGCGTTCACGTAGAGCAATCAGCTGCCCCCTCAACTTCCTTCTTCACGAACGCGTGAGTGCCTTCGCGTTCGCAAAGAACAACATCAGCACCAGCAAACCAACAAAGTTTTTAGTCCAAAATAAATCCGTTAACCATCCAAAACTCACCCGAGGCCCCCGGGATCTCAACAAAATATATCAACATGTCCCAAAATACAATACGAACTTAGTAGAACCCTCAAATCACCTAAAACAACGCTAAAATCACAAATCATACCCCAATTCAAGCCTAATGAACTTTAAAATTTCAACTTTCCACAAACGACGCCAGGACCTATCAAATCAATCCAGAATGACTTCAAATTTTGCACACAAGTAATAAATGACATAACAAAGCTATTCAAATTTTCAGAATCGGATTCCGACCCCGATATCAAAAAGTCAACCCCCCGGTCAAACTTTCCAAAAATTTATTTTTCGCCATTTCAAGCTAAATTCCTCTAAAGAGCTCAAATTCACAGTCCGGACATACTCCTAAGTCCAAAATCACCCAAAGGAGCTAAAGGAACCGACGAAACTCTATTCCGGAGTTGTCTTCACACAGTTCCGACTACGGTCAAAAAATCTAAGACTTAAACTTCCGTTTTAGAGATTAAGTGTCCCAAATCACTCTGAATCATCCGTAAATCAAACTCGACCACACCCGGAGATCATAATACATATTGTGAGGCTTCTCAAGACCTTAATTCACTGAACGGGGTGTTAAATCTTAAAACGACAAATCGGATCGTTACACAGGGAGTCATGTTAGTATCTCGAATATTATGTCATCTCCGAGTTGAACTCCACAACCACGTGGATGCCGCCTTTTTTGAATGGTTTTTATTGATTTGTTTCTGTGGTGGTGGTGGTCACATACTCAATTTTTTGAGAATTCGTTCCATTTTACAATAGAAAATCAACCACAGGTCTCTCTATATTTCGGCTCAAGAAAAGATTAGCCGAAATTTGGGTTGGTTCAGTGCTCCTTTCCAGTTATTCTTCTACTACTACAGTTTGTTTCCATGCTATTAGGGTTTGTTGCTGAGTTTTCAACATTTGAGTTGGATTCATATAATGATTCTCTCTCTCTTTTTATTTTAATAACAAACTAAATTTAAATGATAAAATTTTATAATATTCCGAAGCTCACCTTTAGTAACACTATTCTTTTTCAATAACTCTTTTGTTATGAAATAAAGTGAATGTTTGTGGATGTTCATTTAACCCATCCATACATATTATTCAATGTACTACTTAGATAGATGTACCTATTAATTCTTAAGATGTATCTGATGAACTTTAGGTGTTATCTTGTATACTATAAATAGAACATTCTTTGTCCATGGAAGTACACACAAGAAACACACTATAAGATAATTTCTACATTCTCCTTCTATATATTTTGTCTCCATTACTATATTGTTCTATTTTGCTCTTATTTCTTAACACGTTATCAGCACGAGGTTCTAACCAATTGAGGTCATCTGCTTCATCCGAATTTTATCTTCTTCCTAAAAGAGGTAGTCAGTTTCTTTTCCGATTCAGGTATACATTCCTATGTTTATAACGTTTCTATTAGGATCTTCTTTAACCTGAAATTTAATTACCATATGCATAACTTATTTTGAATATGATTATAATAATTGCATTGGTATGAAAACAATAAGTTTCGGTTAAATTATTATTTCATTATATAAACTACGAAGAAGTTTAATCCTACACATAAATAAATAAGTATTAAAATTGAATTATAATAATTAGACTAATTAAGCCCATATCCACTAATTTATCATCGCACTGCACATAATTGTTTGTTTGATAAATTTACATATAGAATATTAATACACGATTATGTACTGCACTGAATTGATAATAATTCTTGTCATTCTAATTCACTTATTTCTATGTTGGTTGTACTATGTCGAATTTGTCAAAGCTTGAATTTATGACACTTGACATCTCTGGGAATAACTATTTATCATGGGTACTTGATGCTGAAATTCACCTTGACGCTAAAGGTCTTGGTGACACTATTAAAGAAGGAAATGAAGCATCAAGTAAGGATAAGGCGAAAGCCATGATTTTCCTTCGCCGTCATCTCGATGAAGGGTTAAAAAGTAAATATTTAACCTTGAAAGATCAATTTCAATTATGGACTGGTTTGAAGGAACGACATGACCACGTAAAAGCCACAGTATTGCCAAGAGCTCGTCATGAGTGGATGCACTTACGGCTACAGGATTATAAGACCATAAGTGAATATAATTCTGTTGTATATAGAATAATTTCCCAACTAAAATTATGTGAGGAACCTATGAATGATGAGGACATGCTGGAAAAGACTCTTTTCACTTTTCATGCCTCATATGGTGTTACAGCAGCAATACCGTGAAAAGACCTTTAAGAAATATTCTGAGTTAATTTCATTCTTTCTTGTGGTTGAACAACATAGTTCCCTTTTAATAAAAAATTATGAAGCCCGCCCCACTGGATCAGCTCTTTTTCCAGAAGCGAATCTGGGAATGATAGATCCAAAGTCTAAAAAAGATAAAATAATTATCGTGGCCGTATAAATATACGTAGGCGTGGAAAGGGGCGAAATAATAATCGCCATGATTATAAACAAGAGAACAATAAGGGTTCTCAGAATAATCCTTCAAAAGGCAAAGGTAATATTTGCCACTGATGTGGTATGAAAAATCATTAGGTACGAATTTGTTGTACACCTGAACATTTTATCAAACTTTATCAAGCATCTATAAAAGGGAAACAAAATAAAGTTGAAACTCACTTGACTTTTCAAAATGATATTGAGGAGGGCCCTATGAATAATCATGATAAAGTTGAAGCAAACCTTGCCTATAAAGATGATATTTTTGAAGGCCTTACAGATATTACTCATTTAGAAGCTGGAGACTTCTTTGAGTATCATAACTAAAGACTTATTATTGAAAAAAATTATAAGAATAAATGTATTTGTTTTTATGAAGTTCATATTTTGAATAAAACTTTTTATGTTGTCAGTATTTAATTTCATAAATGTAGTTTCTTTTGTTCTTAAATTTTTCAATATTACTTATGATGTATTTTCTTTTCTTCTCGAAGAATATGAAAATTTCCCAGTCTTTAGTTGGCCGTATGAATAATACAGAAGAAATATGTCTTCTGGATAGTGCTATGACACTAACCATATTAAAAGATAAGAGATATTTCTCTTATTTAATTATGAAAGAAGTCAATATCATAACAATATCTGGTAGTACAAAATTAATTGAGGGCTCTGGAAGAACGACTGTATTACTACCAAGAGAAACTATATTGGTTGTTAATGATGCATTATATTGTAGTAAGTCTCAAAGAAACTTGTTGAGTTTCAAAGATATTCGTCAAAATGGCTATCATATTGAGACTACCAATGAAGGAAAGGTTGAATACCTTTATATTACTACAATAAAAGCGAAAAAGAAGTATGTGCTTGAAAAGCTTCCCGCATTTTCCTCCAGATTATACTACACTAATATTAGTATAGTTGAATCACATGCCATAGTAAACAAGGAGTTTACTAATAATTTTATTATTTGGCATGACCGGTTGGGCCATCCCGGTTATAATATGATGCGCAAAATAATTGAGAATTCACATGGTCATTCATTGAATAAAAGAACAAGAAGATTCTTCAAACTAAAGAATTCTCTTGTGCTGCATGTTCTCAAGGAAAACTGATTATTAGACCATCAGTAATTAAAGTTAGAGTTAAATTTCCTGCATTTTTGGAACGTATAAAGGGTGATATATGTGGGCCCATATACCCTCCATGTGGACCATTCAGATATTATATGATTTTGATAGATGCATCTACAAGATGGTCACATGTGTGCTTGTTTCAACCTGCAATTTGGCTTTTGCGAGGTTACTATCTCAATTAATAAGATTAAGAGCACAGTTTCCAGATTATGCAATTAAGACACTTCGTCTTGATAATGCTGGTGAGTTTACGTCACATGCCTTTAATGATTATTGCATATCAACTAGGATAACAATTGAGCATCCAGTTGCTCATGTTCATACTCGAAATGGTCTAGCGGAATCATTGATCAAACGCCTCCAATTAATTGCTAGACCAATGCTTATGAGAACAAAACTTTCCATTTCGGTATGGGGCCATGCTATTTTGCATGCAGCAGCTCTTGTGCAGATCAGACCCACAAGTTATCATAAAGTCTCCCCAATACAATTGGCTTTTGGTCAGGAGCCAANAATGCTTATGAGAACAAAACTTCCCATTTCGGCATGGGGCCATGCTATTTTGCATGCAGCAGCTCTTGTGCAGATCAGACCCACAAGTTATCATAAAGTCTCCCCAATACAATTGGCTTTTGGTCAGGAGCCAAATATTTTCCATCTTAGAATATTTGGATGTGCAGTATATGTTCCAATTGCTCCACCACAACGCACAAAGATGGGACCCCAAAGAATATTGGGGATATATGTTGGGTATGAATCTTCTTCTATTATAAAATAGTTGGAACCTATAACTGGAGATTTATTTACGGCAAGATTTGTTGATTGTCATTTTGATGAATCAGTATACCCAATATTAGGGGGATAAAATAAGCAGATGCAAAAGGAGATAGATTGGAATGCATTATCACTATCTCATTTAGATTCTCGAACAAATCAATGTGAATACGAGGTTCAAAAGATAATTTATTTGTAAAATATTACAAATCAACTACTTGATGTATTCACTAACCTACCAAGGGTGACTAAGTCACATATTCCAGCTGCTAATGCTCCTATTCGAATTGATGTCCCGGTTAGACAATCTATAAATGCAAATGAGTCTAAGCCACGCTTGAAACGTGGTAGACCAATTGGTTCCAAAGATAAAAATCTCCGAAAGTGAAAAGGAGCAAATGATATACAAGATCATAATATGGAGGTAATTGCTCAAAAAGAGCCTTGTGAAATAACAAAAGATAAGACCTCAGCAAAGGTCTAGGTACCTGAAAATAATAAGAATGAAGAGATCTCAATAAGTTATGTCTCTACGGCAAAAAGGTGGAACCGAAATAATATTATTGTCGACAATATGTTTTCTTATAATGTTGATGTTGAAATAGTGAAACAAAATGAGGATCTTGAACCAAGATCTATCGATGAATGTAGACACAGAAAGGATTGGCAAAAATGGAAAGACGCTATCCAGGCAGAATTAGCATCACTTGAAAAACGTGAAGTATTCTGACGTATAGTCCAAACACCTGAAGGAATAAAGCCAGTGGGATATAAATGGGTTTTTGTGCGAAAACGAAATGATAAAAATGAAGTCGTTAGATATAAAGCACGACTGATGGAACAAGGATTTTCGCAAAGACCTGACATTGATTATATGGAGACATATTCTCCTGTGGTGGATGCATTCACTTTCAGGTATTTTATAAATTTGGCAGTCCATGAAAAACTTGATATGCGTCTAATGGATGTTGTCCAGCACATTAGACAACGAAATTTATATGAAAATACCTTAAGGACTCAAAGTTCCTGAAACTAATAAAAGTTTTTGGGAAACTTATTCAATAAAGCTTCAAAAATCCTTATATGGATTGAAACAATCAGGGAGAATATGGTATAATCACCTAAGTGAGTATTTGCTGAAAGAATGGTATAAGAATGATCCAATTTGTCCTTGTGTTTTTATAAGAAGGTCTGGATATGAATTTGTTATAATAGTTGTGTATGTTGATGATCTAAGTATCATTGGAACTCCTGGGGAACTTCCAAAAGTAGTAGACTGTTTGAAGAAGAGATTGAAATGAAAGATGTTGGAAAGAAAATGTTTTGTCGTGGTCTACAAATTGAGCATATGAAAGATGGAAGTTTTGTCCATCAATCAACTTATACCAAAAAGTTCCTAAAGCGTTTTTATATGGATAAAGCACATCTATTGAGTACCCCGATGGCTGTGAGATCACTTGATATAAATAAAGATCCATTTCGACCTCATAAAAATGATGGAGAGCTTCTTGGTGATGAAAATTCATATCTTAGTGCAATTGGGGAACTAATGTATCTTGCAAATAATACTCGACCAAATATAACTTTTGCAGTAAGTTTATTAGCAAGATTTAGTTCATTTCCAACAACAAGACACTGAAATGGTGTTAAGCATATTTTGAGATACCTCCGAGGGACTACTAATATGAGATTATTTTATTTTTATGAATCTGATTCACAATTGATTGGTTATGCAGATGCAGGTTATTTGTCTGACCCACATAAAACCCGATCTCAAACAGGGTATCTATTTACTTATGGGGGTACAACTATTTCATGGCGTTCAACAAAACAAACTTTAGCTGCTACATCTTTCAATCATGCAGAGATAATAGTTATTCATGAAGCTAGTTGAGAATGTGTATGGTTGAGATCAGTGACTCTACATATTCAACCATTGTGTGGTCTTTCTTTAAAAACGAAGATTCCAACGATATTGTATGAAGTCAATATTGCTTGCATAGCTCAACTTAAAGGAGGATATATCAAAGGAGACAAAACAAAGCATATTTCACCAAAATTCTTTTTCACACACGATCTTCAGCAAAATGGTGAGATAGATGTTCAACAAATCCGTTCAAGTGACAATCTAGCAGATTTATTAACTAAGTCATTGCCAATATCAACATTTGAGAAGCTGAGACATAAGATTGGAACGCGTCGTCTCCGAAATATCAAATAAAGCTTTCATTAGGGGGAGTATAATACGCGTTGTACTCTTTTTTCCTTAACCAAGGTTTTGTCCCAATTGGGTTTTCCTGGTAAGGTTTTTAATGAGGCAGCACTCAATACCTATTAAAAGATATGTGTACTCTTTTTCCTTCACTAGGCTTTTTCCCACTGGGTTTTTCTAGTAAGGTTTTAACGAGGTACATTATCTTTCAAATGAACATCCAAGGGGGAGTGTTATGAAATAAAGTGAATGTTTATGGATGTTCATTTAACCCATCCATACATATTATTCAATGTACTACTTAGAAAGATGTACCTATTAATTCTTAAGATGTATCTGATGAACTTTAGGTGTTATCTTGAATACTATAAATAGGACATTCTTTGTCCATGGAAGTACACACAAGAAATACACTATAAGATAATTTCTACATTCTTCTCCTATATATTTTGTTTCCACTACTATATTGTTCTATTTTACTCTCATTTCTTAACATCTTTTTTTTTTGGTTGCAAACCCTTCTATGAACTCTTTAATTTCATAGTACTACAACTTTAAACGTCCCAAAAAATTACTTAGCCCATTTGGGAGAATATGACCCAATTTTAATACCGGACCCTTTCCATTTCCTCTTTGACAGTAATATGAAAAAGGAAAAATTA